GCCGACATACCTTGCATGTCGTCTTGATTTGCTCAACGTCACTTTTGAGATGCCCGAACCACCGCCACACTACTGATGTTGAGTAACTTTTCTTCTGAACAATGTCTTCATCTCCAGAAGACAACTCCGAGTCATGACTGGGGTCTACTTCGCTGTTTTCAGCTCCACGTTTGGCCATTCGGCTTATTAAACCTCTTCATCGCAGTAGCGGAGCAGGAAAAGTGTAATTGCAAATGCTTCTTCTTTTTGTTAAATGGCGGTGGGCAATCAACGCGCATGGAGGGTTAGCGCCCCCTACTGAGGCTGCAAACATCTAATATTTCTGATCGAGACTCCCAGCTGATCACCGTAATTGAACTGAAAATGATCGTGATCACAAAGTGCGATCATATGATCGCCCAGCCCTACTTTGTGGGTATGAGAATGTTTTAAAACCCTTATGTGAAGTGAATATTAATATTAATAAGTATCTTATTGTAACGTGTATGAGTGTAGATATTGATTAACTTGTTAAATCAAACACTTACTGATCTGGTGTAGATAAGATCTGGAATGGATTGTTGTAAGAGCAGTATTCATTTTAAAGCCATCATGGTTAAAGCAGAGATTATTCAAACATTTGATTCAAACATCTTGTTCATTGAACACATATGATTGTTTAACTTATAACTGTAAAGTTCATAGCAACTTTGAGTAGGTTCACTTTATTCAGAGTGAGGAAAATAGCAGCCAGGCTCCAGCATCAGTCCATGGGTGTGAATGTTATGTCTTGTATGCAAACAAGAACTGAGCAGATCTTTCTGGACTTGGAGGCCAGACAGATAGTGGGTTTATTTCTGCATATGAAAGGTTATCTTGTGATCAGTTAGATGGTGAAAAATTTACCCTTTGGATATGTAACAACAATATTCTCAACTCAACTCAATCTTTATTGATATGTTCATGTTTATGTATTTAGCAGACGCTTTTGTCCAAAGCAACTTACAAGTGATAATCGGCATGTTGCCCTTGAGGCTAACAACAACAATAACAACAACAACTTGACATCAATCATGGAGAGGAGGGGACAAAGGAGTGGACAGTAGAGAGGGGGGACGGGTGCAGGGAGGGTGCTAGTTTAGAAGATGCTCTCTGAAGAGCAGGGTCTTCAGGAGTTTCTTGAAAATTGAAAAGGAAGCCTCTGTTCTGGTAGTGCTTGGAAGGTCATTCCACATTTGTGGAACGATGCATGAGAAGAGTCTGGATTGTCCTGAGCATGGTGTAGGCACTGCTAGCCGACGATCCTGTGATGACCGGAGCTGCCGGGCCGAGACGTAAGCCTTTGCAAGAGGATTCAGGTAGATGGGAGCCGTACCATCTCGGACTTTGTATGCTAGTGTTAGCAATTTGAATTTGATGCGTGCTGCTAGCGGTAGCCAGTGGAGCTCAATGAACAGAGGGGTGACTTGTGCTCTTTTTGGCTGATTGAAGACCAGACGCACCGCTGCGTTCCGGACCATTTGAAGAGGTCTCACAGTACAGCCTGGAAGACCAGTTAGAAGGGCATTGCAGTAATCGAGGCGGGAGATGACAGTAGATTGCACGAGGAGCTGGGTGGCATGTTGTGTTAGGTATGGTCTGATCCCCCCCCCGCGGATTGGTGCTGCATCTGCAGTGATGCGGGCGTTGTACCGGTCTGTCGTGGTGAAGATAGAGCTGAGTCAGAAGGCGAAGCTCTCGATTTACCTGTCGTTCTACGTTCCTACCCTCACCTATGGTCATGAGCTTCGGGTGGTGATCGAAAGAACGAGATTACGGATACAAGCGGCCGAAAGGAGTTTTCTCCGAAGAGTGGCTGGGCTCTCCCTTAGAGATAGGGTAAGACGCTCAGTCATTCGGGAGGGGCTCGGAGTAGACCCGCTGCTCCTCCACATCGAGAGGAGCCAGTTGAGGTGGCTCGGGCATCTGGTCAGGATGCCTCCTGAATGTATCCCTGGTGAGGTTTTCCGGGCACGTTCAACTGAGAGGAGGCCTAAAGGAAGACCCAGGACACGGTGGAGGGACTATCTCTCTCACCTGTCCAGGGAACGCCTTGGAATTCCCCCGGAGGAGCTGGCTCAAGTGGCTGGGAAGAGGGAAGTTTGGGCCTCTTGATTTAGGTTGCTGCCCCCGCCACCCGACCGGATAAGCAGAAGAAAAAGGATAGATGAATGGAATATTATTGAGCCTTTGATATTCGATTGATGAAACTATGTAATTTGGGTAATGCCAGGGAAACAACACTTTTTAATAATTTCACAGAGACAACATTTTAGTGGGGTGTACCCCGCCTGATTGCCCATTGACTGCTGGAGATAGGCACCAGCCCCCCCCCCCCCCCCCCCCCTGACCCTGCATGGACAAAGCGGTTTCAGAAAATAGATGAATTTATTACTATCTTAACTCATTCGCTGCCAGCGTTTCTCACCGTTTTTACTGTTTTTTTAAGAGTCACAGAACGTTGTACATTGATTTTTTTTATTTTGGAAGTCTGCTAGGTAAAAACCGAAAGTTTCATGTTTCTGAATGAATGAATGTTTGATGTTACAAAATGAGTAGTAAATGTACAAAATAAAAGTTTGATTTTACAAAATAAATAATACAAGTACAAAATGAAAATTTCCTGTTACAAAACAAGGAATACAAGTACAAATTGAGAATTACAAGTTAGAAAACTAAAGTTACAAGTTACAAATCCAAAGTTACATGTCATGAAACATGTTCCAAGTTACAAAACTTGGTACAAGTTACATTGAATATTGTCCCAATCCTAGCTCCATACAAATCCAGGACACTGCCAGGTGAGCTGAGTCATCAGAAAACGTTTGCAGGTGACATGACTCTGAGTTGTTCTGAAAATCAGTGGTGTATAAGGTGAAGAGGAAAGTCGAAAGCACAGTTCCCTGTGGAACTCCTACATCACTGGCCACCACATCAGACAGAACGTGTCCCAGGTGGACAAATTGTGGCCTGCCTGTCAAGTAGTCAGTAATCCAGGAGATCCATGTATCACTAACACCAAAGAATGTGATCCTCACAGTGCCTCCCCCACCGTCCAGATGCAAAAGGGCTCATTGCAGCAGGTAAATGATGGCATCATCAACTCGTAAGTGGGGCTAGTATGTAAATTGCAGGGGGTCCTGAGACATCGTCACCTGTGGCCTCAGCTGGGTCAGATGGTATCGACTTCTTAGGGACTGGAACCAGGCAGGACCTCTTCCACAGTACCGGGATTTTCTGCTGACTGAGGCTCAGGTTGTACAGATGACAGCTGGCGGGCACAGCTTTTCAGGATCATGGGTGTGATGCCACCAGGGCCTGCAGCCTTGCGTTTCTCTAGCGGTCTCCTAGCCTGGCCTGTTTGGGCCACTGGGCAGCGGTTGGTGCTGGTGCTGCTGATGTCTTCTGTCGGGGGCAGGATGAGGGAGGAGGAGGAGGGCAGAGGGCGAGGTGTACAGTAGATAACTGAGGGGGTGGTTGGGTCATTTGGAACAGTGTGGGGGCTAGTGTTGACAATGAAAGGGTGGGGAGCTAAACCTGCTAAAAACTGGTTTGATTTAAATGTGGCATTAAATCCTCTTTCTCTTTCTCACTAAAGACAGACAGACTTAGGCCCAAATGCATGGATTTGTTCCTACAAATTATTTATATATACACCAAAACACCAATAGTATTCAGAAATAAAGTAAGAAAACTATCTTTTCTATAGCACCTCTCAAAATAAAAATAGGTTCTTCACAAAAACACAATTTTTATTATAAACAATATACATTTTTAAATGATTTAAAAATATAGTTAAATATAGAGAAAAAATTTAAAGAAAAAAATGTGATGAAAAACGTAAGAAAGAGGGAAATCAGTGGATCCCTGGAACGGTGGAGTTAGTAGAAATGAAGGTCACACCAAAGCCTGAACAGGTGAGTCTTCAGCTGCTTTTTAAAGGAGACCACTGAGTCCACAGCAGCAGATGATCTGTCACCTTTGACCTTTAGCCTGGTGCTGGACCTCAGGGACCTGCTGGGGGCGTAGGGACTGAGAAGATCACCAATGTATGATGGTGCTTGTCCATGTAAGGCCCTATATGCCATGGTCTGCGTCTCTATATTGTGTCTTCTGGTTGTAGGCCCTCATATTATCCCTTCAGGTCCGGTGTTTCATTTAGTCATCCTCAGCCTCCTCCAGTCTGTAGCTTCAGCCTTGTCCCCAGCTCAGTGTGTGTGTGCGTGTCCTGCCCAGTTAGTGTTTGTGTGTGTGTGTATATGTGTGTGTATTATGTCCTCCTCCGGATAGTTTGTGTGAGCCTTTCCCTCAGTCTTTAGGTTTTAATATTGTATTTTAGGGTTATCTGCCATTCTCTGTTCTGTTTCCCCATTTAGATTATTATCATCACCTGCCTTTCCTCCAGCAGCCGCACACCTGCTGCCTGTTTTCCTGATTGCCTCTCCCAGTCTATTTAAGCCCTGCCTTGTCTTTGTCTTGTGTCAGTCCATTAATGTTTGTTGATTCTGTCAGTTTATTCCCTCCGTGTTTAACCAGAGTTCTTGATCCCCAGATAAGAATCTGCTTTTTGACCTTTTGGATTTTGACTCCCAGTTTGGACTTCCTTGGTTTTTGGCTCACCTACAAAATAAAGACCTTTTACTTAAAATCTTCATCCCTGCCTCCGTGTCATCCTGGGTACTGCATTTTGGGTCCATCAACACCGCATCATGACACTATAGACCAGAACCAGGATCTTGAAATAAACCCTGAAGTTGACTGGCAGCCAGTGAAGCTGTGGCTCTTATTTCTACATCCTGGCTTCATAAATGACCCATGCAGACTCCCCTGCTTTAATCCTGTAATTGTTTGAATTACAGAACAAGGAGGCATCCAACTTTAGAGGGTGGCTGTCATTTCTCACACCTCAATCAGTCTGGTGAATGCATATCTCCCCTCATATTTCTTCATTTTTCTCAGTTTCTTTTCATTTCTTTTTCAAGGGAGAAGACAAAAGAAGAACTGCTTGAACAATAGCATGGAGGACAAACAGGCGAAAGATAAAGATCAGTGAAAGCAGCAGGGATGGAGTGGTGAAACAGCTGGTATGAAAAAAAGAGAAGAAACATAGCAGATAAACAGAAAACGAGTGAATCCAGATCAAAAGACAGACAAAAAACCCAGGAAAGGGCAGCAGGACAGAGGCTGAAAGAAGATGGAAACTTTGGCAAAATAGACGCCGAAGGTGAGCAGCTGGTTATGGGACTGAAGACACATCTGGATGGTTAAGCCCCTCCTGAGATGGCCTCCAGCTTTAATGACATCATCAAACAGGGCTACGTTCGTATGCGTAGCCGGAAACTTGGGGTGAGTGTTTAATGTCTTCTCACATTCAGCTAACTGTCAGAATACTCATTTAACGACACATTCAATGTTGTCTGCTGTCTGATCAAGGAATCTGTTTCTGTCAGTTGTTCAGGAGTAGCGGATCGAACAGATCATAACCTTAAAATTGTTTTCAAATTTTTCATTTAAATTTGACTGACTCAAGGAACATAGAGAATAAGATCATGTGTTTGTAGACTGAAGAAAAGGGGAGAAAATGGCAAAAATTGTTTCTTTATTTATTTATTTATTTTGTACATTAGCGCCACCTATTTGACAACATTGAAATAAAATGATCTGGTTGTAGATGACACTATTACAGATAAGAAGAGTAAATTTCTGAATAGAATATATATTTTTCATGAGTAAAAGGGCAAGAGTTTTTAAAGCCTACGAGCCAAAATGTTTACAGTAGTTATTTTATAAAAATGTATTTTTGGGGGGGATTTAGTTTTCCTGTGTGGGAAGGGATTTTATTGGGTAGTTTACGTGCTCATCAGAGGTCAATGTAGTTCATTTCACTGGGTGTAGGTGAATAGTTTCCTCTTGATTGGTTGGATGAGCTAGATCCCGCCCCCGAGGCGGGAGACGTAAGCTCTTCCATTGTCCTCCATGTGTGACGCAGGCTTTGGCCCATGGAGATAGCAGGGCCAGCACGCTTCGAAAGAGATGGGAAACGGCAGAAAGCCAGAGAACCTGGTTTGGTTTGGAGCGAGCGGAAGAGAGGAAGCAAAGCAGTGGGAGGTTGTTAGTCCTCTGTTGTCTTTACAAACGGTCTTGGGTGGGTTTTTTTCCGCCCCATCTTCGTAGTGGATGTTCTCGATTCCCTGGACTACGGATGTTGGATATTCTCCTCTTCTGTGGAGATGGCGAGCCGTCCTGGACCTTGAAATCCGATGAAAATGGATTGTCCTTTCCCTGTTGTGAGGACCACGGTGTGGTAGGATTTTTCTGGCTTCCGGTGTGGGAGTCTGGAGCAGAACTGAGGGTGTACCCACTACAGCTGACCTTTGACTCATTTAGTCTTCCTCATCCCTGAGGGGGAATCCCTGACTAGATTTATTTATTTTGACTGACTTGGATTTCATTCCATCGACACTATCCCACAAACCTTAAAAAAGAAAACTCTCCCTCCGGTTCACCACTCGCTGCTGTTCTGGTAAGGTAAACTGTGTGAGTGTGTGTGCGTGTGCACGTGCCAGACCGGCCGTCTTTTGGTGAATGTGAATGCGTAATGTTACTTTCACTGTTGAATATTCATGTCACGAACCGAACTCAGAAGACCCGTAATGACGTCCAACACAGTAAAGTTCCTTAAAAGTCTTTATTTGGATGAGGAGTTACCCGAGGAGGGCGAGGCAGGAGACAGAGTCGGAGGGCAGGCATGAGTCAAAACCAGATCGGCACAAGCAGGTACAGGGAGCAGGCTGGAGACGTGGTAGAAGACAGGCGAGGGTCGTGATGGCAGGCAGAGTTCAAGGCAGGGGTCAGGAGAAAAACGAGGTCTGGAGGCTGATATCAGGCAGGGCGAATGGCTGGAAGATTTACTTGCGTGGGCTTTCAATAATCTGGCAGTGAACTGGTGACTGGCTGGTGAATATATAGCAGGGAAGGCAGGTGTGTGGGATGAGCTGAGGAGACAGGAGCAGGTGAAGTGGATGAAGCTGATGACAGGAACAGGTGAGATGACTGGAGTTGATGAGGTGCTGACTGAGGTTGCTAGGGAAAACAGGTCTTGGCTGTAGCTTGATGAGGGGACCAGGTGTGCTGAGTGAAGGTAGAAAGATGGGAGTCATGACAGAGTTTCTGCCCCGGAACCACCAGCTCAAAGCACCGCTGGTGCGGCTTGATCAGCTCCCAGTGTGGCACCCCTGCCACAGCACTTCTGGGTTGCTGATTCACCTCCCCTGGAACCTTTCGATGGTGAGTCAGACAACTGCTTAAGTTTCTTACTTCAATGCCGACTAACCTTTGAACGTTCACCAGCCTCTTTTCCCACTGATGCTGCTAAGATCTCTTTTATTGTTGGTTCCCTCTGAGGCAAAGCACTAAAATTGGCAGAGGTTCGGAGTCGGAGTTCTGAGTTTTTTTCCAGTTCTCTCTCTCTCGAGTTTTTTAATCGATTTCAAGTTACCTTTCAGCTGCACTGAGACCCCAGCTGAGATTGCCAGAAAGCTATGGCACCTACATCAGGGCAAAAGGACTGTTACTGACTTTTCTCTCGAGTTTTGCACAGTTGCGGGAATGAGGACTCCCTGAAAGTGAATTTCACACAGGCCTTAAATGATCAAGTAAGGAACCAGCTAGCCTTTTGTCCAGAGCCTAAGACCCTCGAGGACCTCATAACCTTGGCAATAACCATCGACAACCAACAGCGGGATCTGGTTAATGATATTCAGCATGACCACAATACCCAGCTCACCTTCTAACTCTCGAGTTTCTTCTCAGCCCAGGCTCCCATCCAGCACTGAGGAGCCAGTGCAGATCGGCAGATCCCGCCTATCACTAGTCTTTTCTAACTGTGGTGTATAACTTTGTTGGTGTGTTTATGTTGGGATTTTTCATTGTTGTTATTATTTCTTATGTTATCCCTTGATGTATGGAAGGGTTATCACTGGTTTTGGTTCTTTTTGTTCTGGATTTCTGGTTCTTTGTTTTGATTGTTCTTTTCTTTCTGTTGTTTGTTGTTTTCATTAGTTTATTGCCTATGTTAGGTTCCACAGGTTTTTAAAGCATTGTGTATATAATGGTCTTCTTGTTGACGGTCTTGTTCTTCAGTTGTCATGTTTGCTCGGTGGTATAATGTTCTGATCACTGACATTTTATGTATGGTAGGTGTTCTGATGCCCATAGTAAATATTGGTCTGTGTGTGTTGGTCTGTATGTGTTTATGTTCAGTGTCCCGTCTTTTTTCTAGTTGTTTTCATGTCAATGAACGTTATGCTGCCTTCTATTTCTTCCTCAAAAATAAATGTTATGCTGTCGGTGTGTTGTTAGTCTCCTTCTGTCCTTTTGGTATGATTTCTAGTGTGTCGTTCACGTAGCGTTTCCGTAATTGCATTTGCAGTTGAGGGAACATGGCTTTTTGTTGTAGGTCATCCATGAAGAACTCGCAAAGGCTGGCAGATAACCGACAGAAAAGCGGTCAACAATGGTGAGGATAGAATTGAAACCCTGGGAGACAGGCAAACCTGTGACAAAGTCCAGAGCCAGATGAGACCATGGGCGTGACGGAACCAGTAGGGGACAGAGGAGACCACAAGGCGGCTGATTGGTTGTCTTACTCCTGGCACAGACCTGACAAGCACTAATGTACTCCTTAACGTCCTTGTAGAGTGACGGCCACCAGAACGTTCTCCGCATGAGGGCTAGCGTCCTTCCTACGCCTGGGTGGATGGAGAACTTGGAGGCGTGAGCCCATTTAATCAGGGAGCTGCGAACAGAGGCAGGAACATAGGTGCGGTTAGGAGGCCCCGTATCTGGGTCTGGGTCAGTCTGCTGGGCCTCCAGCACCTTGGTGGTTATGTCCCAGGTGATGGCGCCAACAACGCAAGGGATGGTGGTAGGCTCAACCTCCTTGTCCGAGGCGTATTGTCAGGACAGAGCATCAGGTTCAGTGTTCTTGGTTCCTGGTCGGAAAGAGATAACAAAGTCGAAGCGGGAGAAGAACAGGGACCATCGGGACTGGCGAGGATTGAGTCTCTTGGCCTCCTTTAGATACGCCAAGTTTTTATGATCAGTCCATATAATGATGGGATGGTCTGCCCCCTCCAGCCAATGACGCCACTCCTCCAAGGCCAACTTTATGGCCAGCAACTCGCGGTCTCCCACATCATGCGGAGAAGCGATGGGAGAAAAAAGCACATTATCAGAGGGGTAGAATTGAGACAATACTGCACCTGCACCAGTATCCGAAGCATCCACTTCCAGAGTGAATTGGGCATTGAGGTCAGGTCTGGTGAGGACGGGTGCCTGGGTAAAGCCGTCCTTCAGGGTCTGGAAAGCATTCTCAGCCTCTGGTGTCCATAAGAAAGGTCTGTTAATGGAGGTGAGTTGGGTGAGAGGGGCGGCTATGGAGCTGTAGCTGCGGAAGAATCGGCGGTAGAAATTGGCGAAACCCAGGAACCGTCAGAGCCGGATTAAATAAATGAACTACACTAGGCAGGCTGCATTTTTTTTGCCCCCCCCCCCCCAGTTGATGTTATTTAATGAACTGAAATCTGAAACTTACCAAAGTTACTAATAAAAGTTCATTCACATTTTACATAGCCTAGTTTTTGGTTACAAATTGGTTGTTCGTATGCCAGAATAAGTCATGTGTTGTATGTCAAATATTCTATCAGACTTTTTTTTGTTATTAATAATTTATATCTCATTACACAGCTGTATTAAATGATAATAAATTATCCTCATCTTATCTATTGGGAGTGTCAATGTTAAGGCAGTAGTACCAGTAAATAACCACTAGGTGTCATTAAACTATGTAAACAGAGCAAATATATTTATCTTATTTGCTCTGTTTACATTTAACCAGTAGCTAGCTGTCAATTTTTATTGGGGGACAATGGGGGGTCCTGGTAATTTCAAGGAGGTTCTCAAGAAAACAAAAAATGCAGTGGACAGCTAGTAACTGCATATTACTGCTACTAAACAGCAAAATACTACAACTACTTTGTTTTTAATTAATTAGTCAATTGCAGTGTGCAAATAATATCCTTTAATTGCCATAGCCACACCCCCATGACACAAAACACCCATGACAGAACACATATTTACAAAATAGTATCTACTCTCATACTCTCACCACTTCTGCCCAGTTTCCCCCTCCTGTCATCTTCTCTGCTCCTCTACTCTCCAGTGTCCTCCTGTCATCTTCTCTGCTCCTCTACTCTCCAGTGTCCTCCTGTCATCTTCTCTGCTCCTCTTAAGTCTCCATTCTCCACTTGTCTTCTCTCCATTCTCCACAGCTGTGATTTACTGCA